AGATACTGTTTTGGTAACCTTAGGGCTATACTTAATGTCCGAGTTTAGGGCTTAACCAAACATAGCTTACCTGGAAACTGTTCTTTATTTATCAGCATTCAGAATAGAAGCTGAGTCACAGCAGACACCAACACATCTGCTTTCTGTCTCATACTTCCTTCTTTCCTGGATATTGGCGATCTTCACTTTCGTTGGGAACTTGAAATGCCCGTCTCAATAACCATTCATCCTGCTTAAGAGTGATGCCCTTGGACAGGTCCTTCACTGTTCCTTCTCCCAGACAGCTTTAATTTTATTTTTTCAACATTGAACTGTATAGTATTTTTTCAATTAACTGTCAGCCAGATAATATCACCTGGTTAATTTCAAACACTGGCAAGTAACTTGGATTTAGTTTAGAAATTCACCCATCTGTAAACTGGATTTCATGTGTGTTTAAAAGGAAGTTGGGGAAAGAACCCATATGCTTTGGGGAAAGGTCTTTATTCCTTATCTTTCTAGCTTAGTAATCAACGATAATCTATTCACTCCATCTCTATGCTCCATCCCCCACCCCCGGTTCACAGGTAAGGGTGGGGAGTACCACCATCTTAGAGGTGAAGCTGGAAAAAGGTGGTGAGATGGATTCATACTGTACATGATGTGAGGAATCCCTTCATTACTAACATCCTTTTTATCACAAGATAGGCTATGAGAATTCACCAATGGAGGAGTGGCTATTCACAAAGGATAAGTCAAGATTTTCCTTTGATAGAAGAAAAAGAACCAGAGCTTTTTATTATGCTTAGTTTTCATCTTATCCTTTTCTATATGTATAGATGTTATAATGTCCATCGTATATTAGTATGTTGCTAAATGTATATTTATCCTCTCTCTCTCTCTCTCTCCCTCTCTCTCTCTCTCTCTCTCTCTCTCTCTCTCTCTCCCATCTATCTGTCTCTATACTGAGTAGCTTTCCTAGAAGCATAAACTCTTGTGAGATTCTTATTCGGGTCCAGATGTGAATTGGAACTGTATTTATTTGTTCATCTGGTCTCACCAAAGAAGCTTTCTTCAGTGTAGTTTTACGTAAACTTCTGATACGGAAGACAAATGAAGAGGGCTGAGTGCAGGGCGAGGGATGGGCCTGCCTTCTGTGTTTCCTTTAGTTTGTTCTCGCCTCTGCTGTTTGGAAACCACTGTGGTAGCTTCCCAAAGATGCATCTTTGGAGAATGACTGGTTCAGTGTTTGAAATCAGAAAATAAGACATGACCTGGTTTGGCTTGGCAGTGGTCATACATGCTTTTAATCCCAGCACTTTAGAGGCAGAGGCAGGAGGATCTCTGAGTTCAAGGCCATCTTGATCTACAGAGTGAATTCCAGGATGGCCACGGCTATACAGAGAAACACTGTCTCGAAAAGCAACAAAATCAAAACAAAAGCAGCAACAAAAACACAACAACAACAACAAAAAAGATATGGCCTGGCTCTCAGATTAGATTTCCCAGACATCCCTCACCAGCTAGACTCATCCCAGCTTCTTACGTGTGCCATGTGCTTAACATACCCTCTCTGCCTAGGCTAAGAGAAGGGACTCCGGCTGGGGTAGGTAGCTCGTCTCCCTCCATGCCATCTTCTCTGGGTCTTTTCTTGCCTTTTACTGCTTCGTTTCCTTCAGCATAGTTGACTCCACCATAGTGAGTCATCAGTATCCAAGACTATATGGTATAGATTATAGATTGTTACCAGACCCCTGCAGCAAGCTCTTCTCTAATCTTATTTCAGAAGTGCTCTTGGCTCCCTCTGCAGAAGGGGTTCTACTCAAACTAAACACAGTCTCATAGCCTGGGAGCCCCTTCCCATTATATGTTTCCATCTGGATCAGAGATAGCCTATTTCTCAAGGAAACTTCATAGTGTCATTTGTAGAGTATAATATTGCCTTCATAACCTTTGTGGGCCAAATTGCCTTATGGGCCTTATGGAATTAGGAGGAAATGCAGGGTGTGGCAAATGGAAACATTACTCAGCCCCTCCTCCAGTTACTGTGTAACTGTGATGAGGTAGTCAGGGAGCCTCCTCTGTTACCAGCTCTAGATCCTAAGACACCACACTCAGAAAGGCCCTAGTCAATGACTGGGTCAGGCCATGGGACAAAGACCTGGTGGCTTATGTCTGTTGAAGACTTAGCTCCAGTATTGGGCTAACAGACTATATCATGATTGCCCCACTCCTCCACACACAATCCTGCAGGTAGTTTTTCACAGTTGTTTCTTTACTCCAATATTTTTTTGAGCTCCTAATTGCGTTTTATCATCTGCTTTCCAGAAATCAAGAGTTTGGTTATAAAGGAGAAAGAGATGGGGACCAAACATAGAATTCAGTGGGTTTTCATTTTGTTTTTTAATTAGATTTCTTAAGTTTGCTCTCCTAACTGATGGTTATGAATAGGCTGTGGGGATACCTAAGGGTTACTGTTAAGATATATGCATATGTGTGTGTACATGCATATGGATACACACACGTGTATATCCCCAATATTGCCTACAGCCTGCATACATAACATGCTTCAACACAGTGAATAATTTATGTACCATTTAAAAATACATGAAACACAATTCAGATAGTTTTTAAGAAGTGTATCTTTAAACAGTAGACTCTCAGTTTAGAAGAACTATAAATCACTGATTTAGATGATGCTACCTTCTTGTCTTCATACAGCAGCTGGGGATTTCCCCCCAAAAAACCATAATAAGTAAGGAAGTAAATAAATAATCAACAACTTTGAGAAAGACTGCCTGATTCTGAAACTGAGTAGCTCTCATTTGACCATTTCAAAGCTGGGAGGTACTAGAATGACCAGTTATAATACAATGAGATGTCATATGACTCTTTAATACAGTCTCAAACCTAAAATGTATGCATATTAACTGGGAATGTGCAATCTTGACCCTTCTGTGCAGAGGGAGAATTAGGTAATTAATTCTACTTAATTAGGTAATTAGGTAATGTGCCAAATAGACTCATTGTTGGGAGGAAATGCTTAGTCTAAGCATATAATAACTCTCTTTTGAAAGCAGGTACCCTATAGGTTTGGGTTGTTGCTATATAGAATCTCACACATGGAAGAGATCAGTGACCTTGTCCAACAGAGGAAGACAGTGAGACTCATTCTGGAAAAGCCTAAAAACTTATTCAAAGCCATGTAACAAATACATGGAACATTTCATTATGGTTTGATGTGGTCAAAAGTTGCTAGGTGCTTCTGTTGCTGTGATAAATATGATCAAAAGCAAGTAGGGGAGGAAAGGATTTGTTTGACTTACACTTCCAGGTAAATAGTCCATCACTAAGAGATGTCAGGGCAGAAAATCAAGCAGGAACCTGGAGACAGGAACTGATGCAGAGACCACAGAAGAGTGCTGCTTACTGGATTGCTCCCTTTGGGTTGCTCAGCCTGTTTCCTTCTTTGCCCAAGATCATTTGCCCAGGAGTTGCACTGCCATCAGTGGGCTGGGCTCACCCACATCAATAATTAATCAATAAAATGTGCCCCACAGGCCAATCTGAGGGAAGCATTGCCACTACTGAGTTTCTGTCTCCCCAGATGGTGCTAACTTGTGTCAAGTTGACAAATAGGAGCCAGCACACTAGGTTTATGTGTCAGGATATGCTATACTGTGTTACTATGAGAAACATCACAGATGTTTGTGGGTTAATGTAAAGAAATTTTATTACTGTGTCACCCAGATTTCACTGAGGCTCTGGGTGATCCACTTGGTGCACCATCAGTCCAAGCTGCTCTGATTTCATGGCATTTCTACTTCAAGAAATGACTACATCATTGTCAGAGCTTGTATGTGGAACTACAAAAGGGTCACTCAGTAGTAGCTAAATGCCAAGGAGACACACAGGTCACAGTCACAGGATGCTCTGTAAGAGCTGAGGAGACTGGAATAAAAGTGAGCATTAAACATCTACATCTTTCCAGCCTCCCAGAATGCCACAAAATACCATTTACTGTTGAGGATTCTGCTTTATTAAGTCACTTTTGATCAGTAGCGTCTAAGTTATGAACCAGTTGATTGTTATCAGTCACTAAAACACGGAAGGGAGCAAACATGGGGAAAATATAAGATCCTGTACCAGTGAGCTTTCTATCGCTGTGATAAACACGATGACCAAAAGCAATCTGGGGAGGAAAGGGTTTATTTCAGCTTACAGTTACAGTCCTTAATGAAGGGAAGTGAAGGCAGGAACCTGGAGATAGGAACTGAAGCAGCGGCCACAAAAGAACACTGCTTATTGGTTTGCTCCTCATGCCCTGCTCTTCAACCAGCTCTTTTGTACGACATGGGACAGTCAGCCCAGTGGTGGCACACCCCACAGTGGGCTGGGCCTTCAAAATCAATCTTAATTTAAAAAATGCCCCACAAACTTGCCTACAGACCAATCTGATGAAGGCATCCTCGCAACTGAGTTCCCTCTTCCCCGATGAGCCTAGCTTATGTCTAGTTGACAAAAAACTAAACAGCAGAGATCCCTTTTAAAAAATAGCTCAGTGACTTGGTCAGGCAGGACAGAGTTTTACATGGGGCTCCTGGAAGACCCAGAAGTACAGATGTGTAATGGCTGAGGCCTGTGCACGTGAAGGGGATGGGGCGTGCTGAAGAAGGTAAGGCTGCCCTTGACCATGGTCTTTGAATTCACCACCCAGTCTCATGTTCTTCATGAGTAAGGCCCTTTTCAGGTGTCTGTGGTGTCACTTAAATAATGTCAAGCTTTATCAGAACCTGGATCTCCTGTTTGTCTGCCTTCCCTCACCAGCTGTCTCACAGTGCTTTGGAAATAAGTTGCAAGACTCAACTCTTGGGTTTCCTGTCACATTTTCATCTCTGCAGTGTGTGGGGGGATGGGGGGGGCGGGGGGGGGCGAGGGCGGGCTGTGATGGCATGATGAACAGGGCAGGAGGAAGTTGGGCCTAGTTTCAGCTGATTTATCAACTCCTTGACATTTCTCAGGCTACTGCTTTTGCTGTCTCCCAGGAGAGGTCACCCACCCAGCCTGGGGTTTCTGTTAGTCTTTCAGGGCTGGGTGTTTACTCAAGTCCTTAAGCCATCTGGACCTGTGGGCTGGACTTGGACACCCTCTTCCTTGGAGCTCTTCCCCCTTTCCCTTTCAAGCTGGAAAGGTAAGTGAGGAACCACTTTCACTCCTAGTGGAACTGAGATATTTACTCTCAGATGAAAACAAGGTGTCAGTAGGGAGTCAGATGAGAACCAGAACAAGGCCTAAGAATTTTGTCAATTTATTCTAGTGAAGTTTTTCTTCCAAATGTTCTAATGGGATAGAGCTTATTAGTCTAGGACAAGACTGGATTCACAACATGGCTCTACCACTTACCATTTTATGAGGTGAAGTTCCTTAAACATTTTGATACCCAAATATTTTCTTTTGAACTTTAAAATGTGCACAGTTGCATCTACTTCAGTAAATTTGATGCTCTTAATGGAAGGTGCAGTAAACATTATTACTGTTTCTATCTGATGGCATTCTGGGAGAGAGAGACACCTGGTAAGTTCACACCCAGGATTATCATTGTTACTCAGAGAACCATGCTGTAGGACTTAAGATGCTCCTACTGACATGTGTGACTGTTTCCACATCCACAAGTAGAGCTAATGTGATCAGGCCTTTCTGCCTTTCTAGATTCTGGTATGTATCAAAATAAGTAAGTGATGTCTTGAAAAATAAATTTATATTATGAAGATAAGACATACTATCCTTCATATATATTGGGCTACTATAATGTGACATCACAGAATGGACAGCTTATGAATAACAGAAACTTAGTTCTCTCAGTCATGGGGGTTGGAAAGTTCAAGACCAAGGCATCAACTGGTTCAGTATCTGGTGAGAGCCCACTTTCTCATAGACAGTACCTTTTCACTATATTCTCACATGATAGAAACAGCAAGGCAGCTCTCTGGAGCTTCTTTTATAAGGACACTGCTGCCATTTCATTTCTACTGCTGTGACAAACATCCTGACCAAAACCAATGTAGGAGAGGGAAAAATTTATTTAGTTTGCAATTCCAGGTCCATTGTCCTGTTTAGCTTTCTGTCAACTTGACACATGTTGAAGTCATCTGAGAGGAGGGAACCTTAATTAAGAAAATGGCCCCCATAAGATGAGGCTGTAGCCATTGGGTGGTGGTGGCACACACCTCTAAGTACCAGCACTCAGGAGGCAGAGGCAGGCAGATCTTTGTGAGTTTGAGGCCAGCCTGGCCTACAGAGTGAGTTCTAGGACAGTCAGGGCTCTTCAGAGGAACTCTGTCTCAAAAAAACAAACAAAAAAGTATGGGGCTGTAGGCAAGCCCACAGGGTATTTTCTTAATTACTTTTTGATGGGGGAGAGCCCAACTCATTATGGGTTATGCTATCCCTGGGCTGGTAGTCCGCGGTTCTATAAAAATGCTGGCTGAGCAATCCAGGGGGAGCAAGCCAGTAAGCAGCACCCTTTAAGCCCTCTGTATCAGCTCCTGCCTCTAGGTTCTTGCCCTACCTGAGTTCCTGTTCTCACTGCTTTTGATGACGAACTGTTATATAGAACTGTAGGTGAAATAAACCCAAGTTGCTTTGGTCATGATGTTTCATCAAAGCAATCTTAACCCTAACTAAGACATCCATCTTTGATGGGAAATCAACACAATAATTCAAGTGGCAAGTCATGTCACAGCTACAGTCAAGAGCAGAAAGAAACACACACTCATGCTGACTGCTTACTTGTTTGGTTATGCTTTGTCTACCTGCACAGGGAATGGTGTCAGGCACAATGCATCGAACCCTCCCAAATCAGTCAACTGTCAGGATAATCCTCCACAAACATGTTCACAGGCCAACTTGATCTAGGCAGTTCCTCAGTTGAGGCTCTCTTCTCACATTATTCCAGGCTGTGGCAAATTGACAATCAAAACCAATCAGCATGTTCACTAATTTCATTCACTAAGACAAGCACTCAAGGCTTAATCACATTTCCAAAGTTACCACATCTAATGCCATAACCTTATTAGGTTATAAAATATGAATCTGGTGAGGATTCAAGCATAGCATTTTATGAAGCAGCAGCAACAGTGACGGTGGGCACAATAATGTCATACTCCAACCTCTTAGAATTTAGGTTTCTGCTATCTCTGTGTGACTGGCATAAGGGGTATGTTGTGTTGTATGCAGCTAGCTCTTACAGTACTGACTTGGACAAAACTTAGTCCCATTGAGAATGTTGCTTTTTATGTGGATTACCTCTTAAAGTCTGGGGCTCCTCTCTTAGGGGTTGTGAGTCTCTGAGAGGCCCTTGACAGAGTCTAGGGGAAACCTTGGGATGAGCAGATCCTGGAGTCACAGGGACTTGAGGTAGTGGAGTAGCATTTGATCCTTCTGGGGTGTGTCTCTGAGGTTGGTACTGCCTGGATACTTCTAGTTAGTAAATAGTCTGCATTCGTGGAAAAGAGAAGGAAAAAAATCAATGATTTCATCCAACCCACTATGCCACAGTTCCTGTTTCAGAAAGAAAACTCTATTTCCCCTTAGGTGAAAATGTCTGGGGAGGAGAGAGCCTATCTGTCTAGAGCAGGCAACTATTGAATTACATAGTGAAATATGTTGACTCATTTTAGGTGGTGTCTGTTACTGTTGAATTGGTGTGAAGAGACACCCTGACCAAAGCAACTCTTATAAAAGAATGCATTTTTAATTCGGAGGTTGCTTACAGTTTTAGAAACTTAGTCCATGATCATCATGGCAGAAAGTAGGCCAGCGTGGCACTAGAGCAGGAGCTGAAAGCTTTACATACTGATCCCAGTCAGCAAGCTGAAAGAAAGAGAGAGACAGAAACAGAGACAGAGAGACAGAGACCTATACACACACACACACACACACACACACAGAGAGAGAGAGAGAGAGAGAGAGAGAGAGAGAGAAGGGAGAGAGAGAGAAGGGAGAGAGACAGAGACAGAGACAGAGAGAAGGGGCTGGGTCTGGCATGGGCTTCTGAAACCTTACAACCATCCCCAGTGACACACCCCCTCCAACATGTCCACACCTACTCCAACAAGGCCACACCTACTAATTCTCTCCAAACAGTTCCACTAACTAGGGGTCAAGCATTCAAATATTTAAGTCTGTGAGGGGTATGGTCATTCAAACTACCACATATGGGTTCTTAGATTCTAAGTAAAGCTTTGGTGAATTTTTGCAAACAAATAAAAATTGCACGTACCATATAGGTGCTCATATAGTCAAATAAGAACTCAAAGACCCTGGTTTTGCACAGCACATGAATTAGGAGACCTTGGCAGGTGAACCCTATCAGACTCCATGGGTCAAGTCACTCAGGATTGCATTAGTTGATGTGATGCCAAGGATCTGAGGAGCAGAAGGCAACATGCTTGCTTGGTAACCCATGTATGGCAAGGAAAAGAGTAGAACTATACAGGCTGTGCCAGCTGAAGAGCAGCAGGCTGCTGAACAGGCCTTGGTAGCAGACATCTGCCCCAGTTGCTGTGTATGTCATAGGCCTCAATGTTACAGTTTCTTCTCTGTGGCTGCCAGGGCCCACATATATCCAAATGGACTCAGCATGCCTCTGTTTGTAGGGCGTGTGTGTGAGAACATGAAGCTGTGTAAAGGGAGCACTGCAGTCTTCTCACTCAACCTCAGAGCTCCATGTCTGTGGCTGTTCTGGTGAAAGGCTGGCAGTCACCCCCAGAGACCTCTCTGTTAGCCACCTTCCTTTGAAAGGGGTGTCAGTCTTCCCAAGGTCCTTGAACACACAGTCTGGCATTTGCTTAGACCGTAAACTAAAAATAAGTGTTGCCAGGACTGTTCCTGTTGGCAGTGATGGTTGAACCATCACCTCACCACAAAGACACTCGTCATTTGGGGGTTTAGAAAAGGGAAACACTTAAGTGCTAGTTTATCAGACTAAAAGAGTTACAACAACAACCCCAAGGACAGCACCCAGTCCACCCACAGCCTTCTGGTCAGAGATGACAGTCTCAGTTTACAGAGGAAAGTTGAGCTTCTGACCCACGCAAGGCATGAAGGCCATGATGACTGAGGCCACAGCAGCTGCCTTTGAAAAGTTCCCAGGGAAACTTTAGAAGAAAACAACAGTGCTATTTAAAAGGCACCAGAAGCATAGTCTGAAATCTAGATGATCAGAGAGAGAGCCTGCGGTTCTGTGCATTATTAATATTTTGGGGTGTTTCTCATCCTGACTTTTTTGATCAATAGGAAGACCTTAGGGTTCAGTGGCATTGTGCTGTAGATCAGAGCTTTGCCTAGACCTTCTCCTATCCCTCAATTGGGAATGATGCTGGCCTGAAGCAAGAGTTTAATGAGTACTAGTGTGAGGGACATTTTAATGCATGTCATTCATAAAATTCCTTGACCCTCTTTCTAACTTTCTAACCTAAGACTTTAACATTGTTAAACGTGTTTTAACATTTCTTAGCTCGTTTTATTTTAATGACTTATGATATTCCATAAAGATGGCTGTCATATAACATAGGGAATCAGAACCATGGCATTGGACAAGAAATTCTGTGATGTATCTCTCTAGCTACCATTTTTCAAAGAGGAGTCCAACCTTGAACCCTGTTGGGCCTGAAGTCTTGAGGGTGACACTTGTGAAAAGGCAGATTTAATGGGATCCAGTCTAATGATCCAGTTCCTGATCATTAATCCAGTGATTAATTTATCATTATCTTCTTATCATATCTTTGGGAGCTATTCTCCACTGGGTTAGCACAGAGATTTGAAAATTTAAATAAAACCAACTACTTTTAAATACTTGTTGCTAAGTTGTAGAAAAATATGTGAAAAATGTGTTTTGTACTGTTATTGTAATGTTTATTTCCATTTGGCATTTAGCCTGTTATAGTAATAGTAATATAATAGTAATAGTAATAACTTAGACAGTGATAGTAATAACATTTACTTTTAAGGCAGAAAAGCTCATATTATTTTTCCTCTGAAAACTTCCTTTCTAGAAGTTTCTTGGGATCCACACATTGATATGAGACCTCTTTTCTATCCCATTTACCTAATCAGAAGCCTTACATTTTTAGAATATTGGCTGGAGCAAGTGCAATGAAGAATACAATGAGGACTAACTCCAAGACACTG